CGGACGGACGGAGACCGAATTATAAGTCCCCGTTTTCGGACTTCGTCCGAACGGGGACTAACAAGCTTAATAAGTTTTTCTTCAGTAAATGGCAGCCAAAAGAACTTGTGTACGGCAGTAATATTCTGAAGACTGAACTGCGCAATATAAATGCCTTCAATGTAAATTTAGTGATGGCGCCTTCAGTGGCACATTTTGTTACACATTCTGAAAAGAAGTAACCAAGGAGATGTAATTAAATAGTTTGCAAATCTGAAGACTACTTAAATACAAAATTACATTAAATTCTTGGGTTACTCAAGAATGGAGGCCAACATTTTATTGACATAATAAATGTTCCATAGCAATTCTATTCGAAAATAGGGTATAGGAGAGAAGTAGAGTACCACTACTTCTACCACAACATAACACTTACCAAAAATATTTAAAGACTTTTTTTAGTGTTAGATTTTCTGTCTGATCCTATCGCTCACACAAGTTTTTATGGTGTGTATATAATCATGAATCCTTGACATTTTAATCTTGGGGTCGGACTTTGTATACCACAAAAGCTCTTGTGCACAGAAACAGTATTTATCCCATGCTATAAACTTTCTGGACACTGAAGAGACTGTTCAAACCAATAATAAACAAACTTCCAACACATTGCTGTGATATTGAACAAGCCCCCGTGATGACAACACAGGGATGTTAAGTTTTAGAGTTTAATGAGGACTAACAAAAAGATTTCTTGGCAAAGACCTTACAGTGTATTTCCTTGACGAGTGAACAAATGGATAATATTATAAACTCACAAACATCAAATGAAGAACAATAATCCAATACAAACCAATGCAGGTGAATCTTTATTGCGGGCCAAGAAGGAATAAATCTTAATCAAAATGACATCAGAATTCCATTTACTGATCCGTGATAATTGTGTCTAGTATTAATAATACGACCTATGTATCTATATCGAACACTAATAGAAACAACTGTAAATGACTCACTATAAAGGCGGTTGAAAGGGGATAACTACAGTCGTGGGAGTTAAATCTTTGGTTTTACAGTAACACTTATATACATGCCAAGATGATATCATCATAATAAAACAAATTAAGGTGCAACTAATGTTTTAGGCCAGTTTCATTCCTAAATTCAATTTTTGGTTGTTTCATTACAACACGATATCAAGCTCTTGGGAGGGAGGGGGTTTGATGTCACGATACAAATAAATAACTTCTATATTATATAGCAATAAAAGGGTATGGAAAAATATAAACAATCAAAAAATCTGTATTGTACAACATTAAGGTGACATTATAGAGGTAAACATACTCCTAGTACTGACTCTCTTTGAATGAATAGATTACAAACATGCAATGATAAGCACCAAGATCCTTAAACTAAAAGTAGTTCTAAAAGTAGCATCAAAAGTTACAACCCACGACTGATATTACTACATTTTACTTCAAGCTTCAACACAGAAATACCAGAATTAAAATCACATTCATGCTCTGTATCAATAAAATGAAAAAAAAAAAAAAAAACCTTCAACAAGACCACATCAATCTACAATGGAAGAATCCAAGGCCCTGTTCTCAATTACGGGTAATACTGGCAAAAATTATATAATTTATTATTTATAAATCTGTGCTCATCCACAACTGGAAAATAAGATAAATGTGCAACTACATTGTCATGAGAATAAAAATTGTATTCAGTTACTACTCTCTAGTCTATGGGAGGCATATAAATGGACCTACTATACACGCACTCACATACAGACACATGTACTTACATAAATACATACACAAACAGACAAGATAGAACATTGCATATATCATAATATTCAAAACTGTATATCAACGGAATTATTTTTTTTTACTTGAAGTTAAGACAATATTTTGTAGCTTCCAAATTTTTCTTTTGATGGATCGTAATAAATGCAACTACATGACGTTTGTAAAGCATCCACAGTAAATAAAGGACTGTGGGTAACAGGATAGAAATCAGCAGGCTGGAGGGTATCATATATACACGTATATCCCTGACTATTTATCAACAGCTTTATGATTCACATCCAGCCTCCTAAGCGACTATCAAACGGTTGTCTACACATTTTGAATATATTAAGCGAGGAATCACGTTGATTAGGGTTCTCTATATTTGTGCCTCTGACAGCCACGGATGCAATAAGCATTCAGCAGCAGTAGCTCTTTTTTCTGGTGCAAATTCCAACATGGGTACCAAGAAAGACGTCAGTGCTTCGGCTTCACTATGAGGCCATTCATACTTCTCTACCAGAACATGATACAAATCCCACGGTTTCAATTTATGAATATGCCTCAATTCACCTGTAATGAAACATTAATATATGCATAAACCGAGACGGGATAATCATCATTTTGTTATTTATCAATACGGTACGTAAATTGTGGTAAAACGATGTCATACACACTATAATGTTACTCTCAGACGAACTACTTTGAAACAAAGTTACCTCTTTTGTTAAAGAACTCTCTTGAATATTTTCCACTCAAAGCAATATATCTTGGTATAGGACCTAATAATTCCACAACATGGGCTATGTGGTCTAGAAGAAAGAGATAAAAACCAACAGAAGTTAACGACATGATAGTATGAGGGTAATACCACCATTTGTATATAGTAAGGGTGGCAAGAGGCAATATTACTGTACATCAGAAGATAAGAGTAGTAGCAATGAGACCAGTATTGAGCATAGGTATAACAACTTATGACTTGCCTTCATCTCTGCTATAATCATCACCAGAATGAGGTTCAAATAAGTAATCACCAGTACAGAGTTCAAATGCCTGGAAAAGGAAGAGAACAGGACAGTCTTAATATCGTACATTGCTACGAGAAAAGCTACACACATACTATCACTGAGTGCATCATAAATAGATGTAAACTAACTAGCAGCCTGTTGGCTAAGATAGCTCCGCTGTTATCAATGCACATTTCAATTAAAGAACTGAAGATATCCTCAGAAAATCAACAATATGTATAGTATTAAAGCAATCAGACTTGCTGTTTTCAACAAAAATTCAAAAATATAATTTTTTATCCAAAATAATCATTAAAATTAGATAATCATTACAAAATGAACAAATCAATATCAAAGCAATTGGACTTGCGGTTTTTAACAAAAAGTCGAAAATATCACTTTTTATCAAAAATGACAAAAATATTCACCAAAATTAGAGAATTGAAGATATCATTATGAAATGAACAAATCTGAGAGAGGTCCACATGTAGTACCTAGATATGTAATATCAAATCAATTGGACTTGTGGTTTTTAACGAGTAGTCCAAAAAAATGACTTTTTACCAAAAATGACAAAAATATTCATCAAAATTAGAGAATTAAAGATATCATCACAAAATGAACAAATCTGAGAGAGGTCCACATGTAGTACCTACATATGTAATATCAAAGCAATTGGACTTGCGGTTTTTAACAAGAAGTCGAAAATATCACTTTTTACCAAAAATAACAAAAATATTCACCAAAAATTGCAGTTTTGAAGAAGAAGTTGAAATTGTAAAGTTGACGGACAATCAGTAATATGAACAGCTCCGCTGTGTCGACTTTGTCGACAGCGGAGCTAAAAACTTAGTAGTATGTGCTATAAACCATGAATAATTTGCTTTGATCAATAATGACAACATGTGCTCTCCAATAGGACTGATATTTTAAGGATCTTGAGTCAAAATGGAAGCCCAAAATCAAGTTGATTCAGTTTGTTGACTGCTGGCGAATGCCTTTAATAAAAAAATAAAATTGTATGTAACTGTATAGGCGACTCAAGTCACAAATAAAATGTTGTGGCCACTGATTTCCTTCCGTTTCACACTTACTTTGTTTATAAAATGTGAATTTCCTTTTACCACAAATCACAAATTCCATAACTATAATAAGATCACTATAGCAACACAAGAGTTTCTGTTGTGTCAATGACATGCCAGTGTATTAGCACAACTAATTGCATTTGAGCAAATCCATGTGTCAGTGGTGCATCATATTGGATTAGGGAACACTGGATGATAACATACCATACATGCCGTACTCCATATATCAGCTGGGGTACTATAACCAGCTCCTAACAACACTTCCAATGCCCTATATTGTCTTGTCTGAATATCTTCTGTAAAATGATGTGTCTGTGTAAAACAAGATTATAATGTGAATGTATCATTTGGTAACTTACGGTAAAATACTATATTTTCTCTTTTTTCACTGAAGGAGTGATTCAGTGAAAATAAGATCAGCAATATACCCTTTTTCCTATACTTTTACATACAACTCGTCAAAAATCAGTGAAAATAAATTTTCTACAGAACATCCGAAATGTCTTTTCAGCTAAAATTAATTCCAGCTAAAATAATATTTTACAGCCAACAATGGAGTACTGTAAAATGACTAATTTTCACTGGGTTTAATTTTCACTGGGTTTAAATTTCACTGATTTACCTTTTCAGGCATATTCAGTGGGTTTTAAATTCACCGTTTCGTCATTTAGATAATGTGTTCTATGCTAAATTTTACATATTCACTGGGTTTTAATTTAGCACATTTTCCAGTCAGCAAAATAAGCTAAATTAAAACCCAGTGAATAATTACCCCCTTTACAGTAAACATGTGAGTATTAAAGCGCGGCAGTCATGTTGATAAACATAGATTTTCCCACAATCCAATGTGCTCTTCAAATGGAAATCACAAACAAGTATGAGGTTTGACCTGGGTGCGACTTGCACTGAATACCACTGGCGACACCTTCGATACCGTCACCTAAAAATGACCTAATTAAAGCTTGGAAACGTCTCAGTTTGTACTCGTTGATCTGCACAACAGTCAAAGTCACCAGCTTTGTTTATATGAGTTCCATATATCTCGTGCATGCGTGGCGCGACCACTACCACGCTTTAACTTAAGATAGAATTATCAATCACTATAACGTTGTTGTTTTTTTATTCTTGAGATAAATAACCCTAATACGTAATAATATACAACTATGCCAATGTCTATTTTCTTCTTGCCAATTAGATTTGGGAAGTCGTGTCATGGAAAATATAAACACAAAATCATGGAGCCACTAGACGAAATCTCCATATCTAGTTTTGAACAAGCAGCCTATCGGCTGAGATAGCTCCGCTGTTAGCAATGCACATTTCAATTAAAGAACTGAAGACATCATTAGAAAATGAACAATATGAATAGTATCAAAGCAATCGGACTTGCAGTTTTTAACAAGAAGTCGAAAATATCACTTTTTACCAAAAATTACAAAAATATTCACCAAAATAAATTAATTAGAGAATTGAAGATATCATCACAAAACGAACAAATCTGAGAGAGGTCCACATGTAGTACCTATATATGTAATATCAAAGCAATCGGACTTACAGTTTTCAACAAGAAGTCGAAAATATCACTTTTTACCAAAAATGACAAAAATATTCACCAAAATTAGAGAATTGAAGATATCATCACAAAATGAACAAATCTGAGAGAGGTTCACATGTAGTACCTATATATGTAATATCAAAGCAATCGGACTTGCGGTTTTTAACAAGAAGTCAAAAATATCACTTTTTACCAAAATGACAAAAATATTCACCAAAATTAGAGAATTGAAGATATCATCACGAAATAAACAAATC